TAAATATTACCAATGTATTAAAATATTTATAGAAAATCTTCAATACAACAAAAATTCATATGTTCTTCATTTTTTTTAAATAAGAATAATAATAAAAATTAATAAAATTTCTAAAAATAAAAAATAAAATGTGTGTATCATGTTATTTATTTGTATTGCATGCATGATATAATTTTTACGAAAAGTAAATTCGGACCTCCGATGATAAGATTTTTAGGTATTTCGAAAAACGATACCTAAGAAATCTTTAGGTGAGAAAGAGTTCTTTTAATATTACCAACGTACTAGAGTATTTTGAGAATTATTTCAATAAAAAAGGTTCTAATTTATTTTTCTCGAATAAAATTTGAATAATAAATTTTTTAAAATAAAATCAAACAAACCAATTTCCAAAAAAAAAAATCAAGAAACTTATTTTTTCAAACACCGAGAATGAGACTATTTTTAATCAAAATCAAAGGATAACACGTAGTTAAGTGGTACCATTTTTAAATGGGCATCGTGAGGGTGCTAATCATTCCCCACGTGTAACCGACTCTCGAACCCAGACTATTTCTCAGACCATGAAATTATCTTTTTAATAAATTTTAATTAATTTTAAAATCTTATTAGAATGGTAAATTTTAATAGGTGGCCAATCGCACCTAGCCAAAAAAGATTGGTGGCGACTCCATTTTTCGTTCTTTTATTTTCATTTCCAAATTCATCGGGCGGACACAAAACCATTACGACACACCCTTACCTTTCATTTTCCATTTTTCATTTCTACCATTTCTCTTTTATTCTTTTTTCACTTTTGAATAAAAAAAAAACCCTAAGTCTATCAAATTAACCCAAATCACATGTATTTTTGAGTTTTCTAGTAATTAAAGGTAAGATTCCTACCTTGTTTTCAATTGATTTTGGTTTAATTGTATTTGTGACTTAGGGTTTGCAATAGGATTTAGGTGAAATCGTGTTTTTTAAAAATAGATATCTAAGAAACTTTAAGGCTTATCAAAAAATGGATATCCGAGAAGCTTGAAAGCTTCTCGAAAATGAATTTTTGAGAAACATAAAGTATTCTCAAATATCCATTTTCAAAAAATCTTAAAATTTTCGGATATCTATTTTCAAAAAATTTGATTAAAAATGACTTAATCGAAAATATATACGTCTATGGACCCATTTACTTGATCATGTGTGCAAATGGAAGAAATATGATAGGTCTTACCTGCAATAATAACTTCGCACTATAAGGAATATTGATCTTGATAATGTCAATAGCAAACTAACAAATATAGATTTAAACAGTTATACCTAAGAAAAATTATTAGAGATCCTTTTAAAGATCTTAGCAAGAGATATTGTCAAGGTTAATGTTCTTTATAGTGCCAAAAGGTTGAAATCTACCTTATCGTACTTAATGCAGCAAAAAAACTAAAATGCTCTCTTTCCTTTAGTTTGTGTTATAAATTTATTGTTTTTGTTTAAAATGATAAGAGAACATTTGTACAATTTAAATACTTAATTTTGGAATAAATTTTTTTTAGTATTATATTTTAAATATAAATGTATTTATTTTATTAAAATTAAAATTGAATGTTATAAAGAGTTTATAATTAAATATATATTTAAACAAAAATTTATGTATTTTTGAAAATAGATTTTTGAGAATACAATATAACTCTTGAAAATTCATTTTGAAGAATGCAATATAATTCTTTGAATACCCACGTAGAAAATACCAAGAATTATATTCTATTTTTGAAATTCATTTTTGAAAATATAAAATAATTATCAAAAATCCATTTTTGAGATTTTAGGGTTTAGTATATGTGGAAGAGGGTATTTTTATAATTTAGTTAATACTAAATTTAGTATTTACTATATAAGTATTCTTAGAAGAAAATTTTTGAAGTATATAAAGAAAATTTTTTGATATATTTAAAAGCTTCCTAGTGAATCCCTTTTACACCTACACTTCCCTTTTCACCTTTAATCTTGATTGCTTCATTTCCTTTTTCTTTTTTTTTTCATTTTGTTATTATATTTTTCTTTTTCTATTTAAGGTTTTCAATTATATATTTATTTAAAATGATAAATAAAATTATATAATTGCATAATAAATAATTAGTAAAATTTTTGAATAAATATATAAATAAATATATTTATGTTTAAAATAATTATATAAAGTAATTTTATATATAATTAATTATATATATAGCTATAACATATTATGGAGAGGGATCAAATTATACAAAAAAAGTTGTATACCTTTTTACACTTTTTTCTAATAATTAATTTCAACAGATGAGAGAGAGGAGAAAGGCAAATAAAAAATAATTTAATGACATCTTTTAGGTTTATTAAAATCAATGATTAAAAAAAAATTAAAAAACTTTATATCGATGTAAATTAATTTCTCCCCTAACATTATAGATACATAAATATAAACATAAGAATTAAGATATATAATTATATAAAGATCAATAAATAATTGAACAAATTATCATTAAATATATAATCAATTTTAATATTAAATAATATTTGTCAATATTATTATTTAATAAATTTTTTAAATTTTTAAATGTTAAATAAAATTAAAATATACATAGAAATAATTTATTAATATATTTATAAGTTAACAACCTCAATATTTTTTTTTTATTTTCATCTTACTGTTATAGCCTACAAGCTTACAGTTGTGTTTACCAAACACATTTTACATAGTGGCAACTTCAATCCCATCCTATAATAAGGTTTCCTTTTAATGGACTATGAAATTAAAAATAATGATAATAGAGAAATTATTTATTGTAATGGTAAAATTAAAATTAATGATGAGAAATATACATTTGGTAAAAAAAATAAAGAAAGGAAATTAAAAAATTGATCATTAAAAATATTAAATTAAAATTGATATATTACGTAATTTATAATATATTTCATATTTACAAAACTTATAAAAACTAATAAAAGATTTTTAAATAAAATAAGATTTTTTTAAAGTTCATAATAGTAATATATTTACAAATATTTAAAACGAACAACATATTACTTATTTATTTAAAATATGTACCAATATGTTTTATTATTCCCGACAAAAAATTATAATCTATGTGAATTGATTTTTTTATCGTATATTTCTCCAAAAATCATAAATACATATTATACATTTTGTAGTAGTCACTTGGAGTATTTTTGAATTAATAAAAATATAAAAGTGTGATTGAGATATCTACCACCTTTATAGCCTATTAATCTTAAATATCCAATTTAAGATTAATAGGCTATAAATTAAGAGGTATAATTTAAATATAATATTACATATAATCTAAAATTTAATCTATATGAAATAACATCACAACTTTAATTACAAGTGTGATATGATTGAAATGTCATTTCTGTGTAGCCACGCACTGTAATCGGTTGTTTGAATGACACTATTACACTTCAATAGTGCTAATTGGTCTGTTAATGATGCCTCATTAAATTTCTTTTCATTATCACATGAACAAATCTTATTACTCCTTTAAACGGATTATAAGTAAATTAAAATCAGTGAAAACAATTTTTAACTAAATATGTCATAAGATTGAAAATATATGCTTAGACATAAATAAAGATAATTTATTATTTTAATGCTATTAACATGAGTTATTCATGTTTTTTAGTACTATCATATGTAATTTTAAATTTTATAAATAAGTACAATAGTAAACATAGATGTTTTGAATTATACAAAAGGGTAGAACAAGACTTTCAGAACCTAGCATCCCAAATCCCGTGAACATATTACATATTCAATGCCACAGCCCAGGCGACAAAAATAAAATAATAATAATAAAGAATTTTGCAATATCTTTAGATCTAGCTCTGGTAGTGATAGACCTCTCCCCTTTTATACCAAGGAATTCTGTTTACATTTTATTTTATACACCCTACTTTTAAATATATCCTAAATTTAAATTTAATTTTTTATTTTATTAAATACATCCCCATTGCTTACTTAATATTTTTTATGCTTATCATTTTTCTTTCTCTCTCTTCACTTTTTTCGAAAATAAGTGAAATTAAATTTTGCAAAAATAGATATCTATTTTTGAAAAATCTTAAGTCTTTTCAAAATTTTATTTTTTAAAAATTTTAAAATTTTTTAGATATTAATTTTTAAAAATTCAATTTCACTTTGGAAAATAAATTTCTTACTTTTAATTGTTAAAAACCTTAATCATTTAAATTCATGTCTCATGAACTATTTAAGAATGCCTTAATTAAAAAATATATACTTATAAATAATTTATTTGATTATGTATGCGAATAAAATTAAATAGATATTTTCAAACAAAATATATATGACACAAATTTATTTTTTCTTTTGATACTCTAAAAATTTAAAAACATCATTTTATTTTATTTTTGATTTTGCATAAACAAAAAAGTGTTTTTAATTTTTTAATCTCAAAACAAAAATACTTTCATGCTCATAAATACTTAAAAATTAACATATTTTTTTTCATTCGCACGAATAATAAATTAAGATGAATCTCTTTTATGTTATGCATTGTAAACCTGTAATTTTCTCCACTCATCTGCCCGTAGTTTGCACAGCACTACTAATTAATGTTTAAATTCAATAATAATAATAATAATAATAATAATAATAATAATCGGAATGGACGACCAAGATAAAATCGTAATGTAGCCGTTGGTGAAATTTGAATTGAAACATTCATGCCGACGAACTTATGAGTTTGCTGTCATATTGATTTTAATATAATAATAAGAAACTAACTTTACTTAAAAAATTAAAAAATAAAAAGAGAGAGAGAGAGAGAGAGAGAGAGAGAGAGAGAGAGAGAGAGAGAGGTGAGTGGAGTGTGTCAGTGAGCGAGTGGGTCATCCAACGGCTCTTTCTGTCTGTCTCTCTAACGGATGGATCATGGATGGGTTCACTTCAAAATTTGAAATGCCTTTTATTTCTTTGTCAAACCAAAAGTTTTGGATTTTGAAAAGAAAACGCTTTCTTGGACAATGTGCCCCACCATTACCTATTCTATTGGTAGCATTTCTCGACTGCTTTCCCTTCTGTAACATTTCTCTTCTCTTCTCTTCCGACTGACAAATCCCAAATGGGTGGCTGTTTCAGCAAGAAGAAAGCCTCCTCCTCTCATCACAACTCTCAGCCTCAGGCTGCTGCGCTTCCTATTTCTTCAGCACTAGCACCATTAGCGGCGGAGACCAGCTTAAAAACGGGAAGTGAGCCCAAGATTTACAAGGTAGATGAAGAAGAACAAGTTGAGAATGCAAGCCAACAAGAAGAGAGCTTCGTGAAGAAGGAGATATTCGTCATAAAACACAGAAAGAGCCATGACAGAGACAGACGCTCCCCTCCTCCGCAAAACGCGCCACATTCAGCCGAAAACGAGTCTGCTTCCTCTGCCTCCGCCTCCGCCTCTGCCGAAGGAGGCATCTGCAACATCAATACTGCGGTGAGGACGTCCAGCTGCACTAAAGAGGAAGTAGATGCCATTTTGATACAGTGCGGAAGGCTTAGCAGAAGCAACTCCTCCGGAAAGACCCTTTCTTCTTCCAAGAAGTACTCCGGTTCCAAGCGAAGTTACGATTTTGATAACGAAAACGACAATGATATTGGCGTTGCCTCTACTGATTATGGTTCGAGGAAGAAAGGGAATGATGGTTTATGCGAAGATGACCGCCCACGCCACCGGCAATCAAGTAGGTCTTCTTCTCAAGGAAGGAGGAGGACTCCCAGCAGAGAAAGAGAGCCGCACCAGCAACGCTCCGGAAGTAGAGAAAGAGGTAGCAGCAGCGGAGGAAGACGAGTAAGCCGATCCCCGGGAAGAAGATCAGAAAACACTCACGCCACCCTTGTTAGCAATGGTGCAAATAATGCCACTAATAGGCCTGGAAAGATTGTCTCTGTTCCAGCAACTGTTTCGTCATTGGTAATTGATAAGAGCAGCAATGGTTTAGAAGCTGCCACAACTACTACTGCCAATTCCATCAAAAGGATCTCTGTGAAGAGGAATGTTGGAGTTGGAGAGGCGGCTGTAGGTGTAGGCTCAAGGACCGCTGCTTCACCTCGCTCTCAATCCCCTGCAAGGACAAATCCAAATGCTAATAATGTGAAAGGCTGCAATGAGAATCAGCAACAGAATCAGCAACAGCCAACACTTAGTCGCAGCTCCTCAAGGAAAGCAGAGCATTCGCCTTATAGAAGAAACCCATTGAGTGAGATTGATCCCAACTCGCTTGCATATCCACAATCGGCCGCCAACAAGAATTCCTGCTGCATCAACAAGGGACAAGGAGGGATGAAGGAATCCACCAATGTAATTACTCAGGTACTTGGTTCTGTACTAGGAGCATTTTGTTCATTTCGCTGCTCACGAAATAAAGAATTTTATTTTCCTAATGTATAAGAATGTGACTGAGAGCTGGAAATTTAACTTAAACATCTTGATTCTTCATGTTAATTTACTTACATCAAAAGACCTGTATTTGCAGAAATCGAATGTTGTTCAAGGTAGTAATCATAAAGCAGGCAGCATTGGTACAGTGGATAACATGGTTGTAAATGTGAATACTACAACAATGGAGCCAAGGATGGCTGAAGAGGTGAAGACACAACCATCAAACGCTGGAGCTGAAATTCTGAAACCTCAATCATTGACGAGAAGCAGATCCTCTAGGCGATCACGGGACCTGGACCTGAATCCAGAAACTTTGTCAAATCCTATCCCATCGTCATATACCACGCTATTGCTTGAAGACATCCAAAATTTTCACCAAACCAACAATCCCCCTTCATTCTCACTGCCACCATGCGTCAGCAAGGCCTGCTCCATCCTGGAAGCAGTTGCTGACCTCAACTCCACTACAAGCTCCAACCTCTCTAATGCATTCTCTGAGGATAGAAAAGGTTTGTCGACAGATGAGTCAAACAAGAATCGCTACAACATCACTGTTGGGAGGAAAATGACAGAAACCAGAGATCCTTTTGTTGAATCTGAGGTAATTGGCAGTGATGATCTGATGGAGCCAAGTTTTCACAAGTATGTGACAGTGAGGAGAGGTGGCGTGGATACGGAGGAGCAAGAATCATCAGGCAGCAACAGCTTTGTGGGCAATGGGCAGCAGCATTGGGGCTTTTCTTCGTCCTCATGGGAACCCAATTCAGCTGATTCAACGGATCGCTGGACTTCAAGGACAAAAGGTAGAGAAGAGGATTACAGTGTTCCCCTTGGACTCCAGAGGCGTGCCCTGGCTGAATCAGGCAGTGACATAAAAAATAGTACTAGAAAAGGATTGACCGGAAGCAGGCAATCTGATAACCAACACGCAGGTGGCAAGACTCGGGCTGGTACAGGTCTTCACTCAATTCCTTTTGCTGCTGCAGCGGCTTCAACATAAAAACCACGATTACGTTTTTACCCTTTCAAGTTGTAGTTTTCAGTTCCGAACTTTCTTTGTATTGGTTGCATATCTACAACCACTTTTACTGCTCTAATTATTTGAATCCATGCATCTTTGAAGTTTGCTCTTATTTTCACACAACCAATCCGAATCCTTTCTTCATTTAAATTGTAACTTGAAAATAAAAAATACATTAGCATAATATATACCGGGTGTCAGGCAGGCATGTGATATGTTTTTGGATCTTTGATAAAAAAAAAAAAGAAAAAAGGGTTTCGGTTGCTGACAACGCGGCCTGAAATCAACTGCTTGAAAAAAAAAAGCCTGGTGGACTCGACCTGTGGCCTTACTAAGAGCCAGAGCTGGATGGCCTGCATAATCTCCAGATGCTTACTATGTTTCTTTTCCTTCTACGTCCAGATGGTTACTTGTTTTTGTTGTTTTTAAGGTCTATTTATCGAATTCTAAGGAGAACCTCCTGGCTTGAAAAATGAAACTTGGAAACACTAGGCTTTCTTTCTGTTTGGTCGGGGGGTTTCCCTGTTCTAATGCTTTCTTTGTTTGCCATGCATTTATAGGTGTAATAGTCAACTTGAATCATTTTCTTTCCTTCTTCACATGGCTTAACATCCATGGAATCACACTGCAATTAAATCAATTGAAATTTATCTAGAATTCCTTAATATTTCTAAAATCTACAGAACGTGCACTGTAATTAAATCAAATCTTTCTACTCCTATATATCAACATTAACATTAAATTCGATAAAATCTATAATCAAGTTTAGCTTCTTTTTTTTTTGTCCTTTTTGGCCAAGACTTTTCACAAGCTTATACGAATACCCTGTCGTTAATCGCGTCAACAGCTTAAAATGCCAAAACCCAAACTAGATATACAGCAAAAGCGTAAAATTTTCTTCTGATAGCTTTTGGAGGAATATAGTCAATGATGCATCCTTGTTATCCACAAACTCAAGTTCCGCCATGAATACAAAAGATGATAAAAAAAATTATTACTATTCAACTAAAAGCAAGGAGTAAGAGCCAAGACGTAAATATTGACAGAAATCAGAAAGCAAAATATAAAGAGAGCATCCATTCCGCTTGAATACATCATTAGCAGTCGAATTTCTGACCACGATAAATAAGCTTATAATCATTTTTTTTCAAGCTACTATGCCACAACAGACTTACTCTTAAAATATTGACAAGCTAAAATGGTCCTTGTTATAATGGCCAACAAGATTTTTAAAAGAATGGTCCTTGTTACATGTTGACAATCTTTTACAAATACAGCATCAAGGGAGACATCTCAAGGAAAATATTTGTTTCAACTCCTCAAGGACCAAAAGCTGCGAACCTTGCTGCTTTCTTGCTGAAGGTCTTTTCAAAATTGTAACCCGAATACAGAGTAGTCACCATTCAAGCAATCTTCACTTTCAAGTGTCCCTCTACAGATGCAGCATGAGGATCAAAAAGCTTTAAAAATTAAGGTGTTTATGCGGTAGAAAGGTGTATCAACCTATGAATTCTCAGCCGCTATGGAATTTTCTTCTGATGATCGGACCATTTCTTGGAATGCATCCATGTCAATAGTCATATCATCGATATAAGCCTCCTCCTCTGTCATTATCTCATCCCTGTGTCCCACCATTGATTCAACTTCAACCCCATTTTGGATTGAATTACTGTGGTTGAGCTTCGTCACCTGCCTTTTCTGGTTCTGGATTTGGCATCATTCGTGGGAGGGTTTGGTGCAGACTATCAATGTAGAGGTTACCAGCAAATTCTACGAAGTACGGAAAATTGAATCATGACTTAACACTAAGTATAAAAAGTAGAAAGACAGAAAATGAACAAATGGAATAACAAAATAAAATCATTATGTAACTGGTTAACAACAGTGACTTTGCACTTCATTGAATCTTTAATCGCAAACCCATATCAGATTTCTAATATCCTTTTGCTTTTCCAATTTTTTTCTGTACTTTTTCTTCTATTAAAATTATTAAACTATTTGGAAAGCATCCATTGTGCATCTAACACTGACAACTTAACAAAGGAAGCAGTAGCACAAATTGATTTAGACTTGATTTAGAACAAGGAAAAGAGATTGTAGAAATTTAGGGGAAAAACCAGAGACTGAAGCAATTAGAGAGAAACAGAAGAAATAGTTAGAGAAATAGAAGCGTTGATGGAGAAAACTAACAATGTAGAAATATGAATCATGAATGAAAAATACGAAATTCTTCTCTCAAATTCTTCTTATGCTTCTCTGGTCTCAATCTTCTCTTCTCCTTCTTCCAATTAATCTCAATCGTTGTTAGATAAGAGGTGGCTTTCACTCACCCTTTTCCCCCCTTCTTCTGCCTCCTTCTTTCTTCCTTTATAAATCTCACCTTCTGTTTTTGGTTTTTCTTTTCATACGTAGCTAGAACACATAAATCAGTAAATAACAGACAAATATCATAAAAGAAATGTTGAGCAAATTGAAGAGCCGATATAGCAAAATTTTCGCAGACAAGAGGAGATGATTTTGTTAAAGATATATTTGGTTTTGCCTACAAGTAGACATATATAGGTTGAATCGGATATATACGAGTTCAATTTAAGTAGAACAGTACTAAAAAAGAGATAACCCACAAGTGAAAATACTAATTCTATTTGTCTTTGCTGATATCATCAGATTTCTCGAACCCAGCAGAAGCGGAAACAAGGCTTTCAACAACAACTTTTTCCACATCACGACGAATTCCAATGTCTGAGACCAAGCGGCTCAAACAATACATTCCGTAACCTACAGCAGCCAGGCCAGTAAAGCTGGTTGTCAAATATCTTAATGGTGAAGAAACAATGGCGCTAGCGGCAGCTAAGAATGATGTCGCCTGCCCACTCCGACCTACACTGATGCTTGTGATTACAAGTAGGCCCGTTTTGCAATAGATTGCAAAGTCTTCACAGTTATTCTTGAAAAGATTGTACACACCAAAAGCGTTATGACGAAGAAGGAAGGAAGCACGATGAAGAACATCTTCCGACGAATCAGAAGCAGCAATGGTGCAGGTTCCTCCCCTAGGTTTAGCAAGAAAGATAGCAGGTGAAACAGCATACTGAAATAGGTATAAATTCCCACCCGCTAGGAAGCAGTCCAAGCAGGAAGAGATAACACCATCAAGCCTTGATTGATCACCACATACAGGGCAATTGGGAGTATCAGAAGGGGATGAACTGAAAATGATACGATCTAGGACAGTTCCAGTGCACATTTCTCGCCCAGCTCCTTGGGTGAAGTGGATCACCTTTCCCTCACCTACATATATCCCTGGTAAGACAAAAGTAGATGAAGCTGTAATAATTTATGAACGCAGAATGGATTATGTAAACTCATAATTGTTTAATTTTAGTATCCTACAAGCCATTTGGCACAAAATCAATGCAATTAGTTAATTCACTCACATCAGATGCTGACGCTGGTCATATATAATAATAATAATAATAATAATCTAACAAACAAATTTCATGAACATTGAAAAATCATCAAAGACAGTACTAACATAAAAGCGGAAGTCTTAATTAATCAGAATTATATAATATGTTTAACACCCAATTTAGAGAAACAGCACCACACTAGCGGAAGCATTATTTAGCAGCATGCCAACATTTGCAATATACAAAAGCATAAACCACCAAAAGCTAATTTTAATTTTCTTGCACATTATAAAGCTGATGTAAGAGAAAAGATTTGCATCAACTGATTCTCTCTCTAAGAAAAGGCAATCATCTTCCTCTTTCCCTCAACTGATTTCTTTGGCTAAAATGCAAACAATTAAGAAATCTTCAAGTATCGTCAATAAAAAATACTATCAAAAAGAAAAATGAATCGAACCGTGATGCGCATAGATGTAGGCGTGCCTCCAGGCGTAGATGTGATCTCCTGGCTTCAACTCTTCTCTGGAAATCCTGTTGGAAAAAACTCTCATTTTCGTCTCTATGCTCAAATGTCAAACCCTTTCTTCACTGATTCCCATTGTTCCGATCCTTCCCTTTGCCTATATCTTCACTCATTCGCTTGCCTACTAAGAAATCCAACATCCATTGCTCTACAACCACGTGGCTCAGGGCCACCTCTGCCGACACCTGCCCTTTGCTTTAAAAGACTAGCTTTTTTTAAAGCCATGTGATACACGGGATATTTTTATTTTATTTTTCATAATTTTAAATTACTTTTTAATTCATACTCATTTTTATGTTCTTTTCTTTGCATAATATTAAAATTAATATGAATTAAAAAACAATTTGTTTCATGTTGTATTTTCTGTTTTTTTTATTCTCTTTATTGACTACAATAATTTATAAAAAAAAATTACATAATTTCATCAACAAATAAATCAAGATAAATTTGCATGATATTTAGGTTAAATGGTAGTTTGACTACTTATTTTGAACCCTTTTTGCAATTAAATTCATAACTTTGTTTGATAATTTTTCTGGTAAATTATATATGTATTTATAGTGCTTTAGTAAATTGTGTTTTTCATCAATATTTTAACCAATAAATCTACTATTGAATTAATTATAGAGAATTAGTGAAAAAAGAAATATGTTGCTGAACTATAATTATGGTTTTATTATATATTATGTTAAATATATATATATATATATTAAAAGTACCATGATTAAGAAACTAAAATTTATTGTAATTTTAGATAAAAATAGAATAATCAAGAAGAAAAAAATTAACGTGTAAAATAATTTACATTTTTCAACTTTTTATCTTTTCACAAATAATAAAATTTTTACTAAAAATCAAAAGGACAACATCAAAAATAAATTTAATAAACATTTGGGTGATTTTTTTAATAATCCAACGAAGGAATAAAGAAAGAGTGATAAAAAAAATTGGCAAAAAAATCCGTAATCATCTAAATACCACCTATAATGAAACAACTGCATTGCAACTTGCCGAGCAATATGGCATTAAAGAAATTTCCACGAACTGATTCTGTATGATTTTTTATTCTTTTCACCCATTAATTAACTTTTAATGTGAAGGATTGCAAAGTTTTGTTGGTTTTGTCATGAAAGAAATGCACATATCGGCCCTGGTATTGTGCTTTGCTATTAGAGATGCCACAACGTTTGTTTGTTAATTTCAATAAATAGATAGATAAAAAAAAACGATACCTAACCATCTAAAATTTGTCGTGAAAATTACATAAATCATTATAAATTACCATAAAAGAATCCATGCAAGTTTTGAAGAAAGAAAAAAAAATCAAATTAGAAAAAAAATTATGAATGTCCAAAGCGTTCAAATAAAAAAATCAACAATTAATAAGCAAATATTCCTTTAAATTTTGAAAGTGAAATTACACAAAAAAATCAATGAAAAAATCATTCTCTGGATCACAATCACATAAACTTCTAAAAATAAATCTTAATTTAGTTTGAAAATTAAGATGATAGGTATAAATATGACATGTTATTAGGTTGAAAACCATAAGTATTTTTATAGTGGACCTTCAGATATGGAGACTGATAAAGAAGAGAAAAGGTGTAAGGAGGAGTCAGGAGGGATAATTGAAGAAATACCACAACAAAAGGCGAAAATTGGGGAATTGAGTCTCGTCGAGAGCCATGAGGTGCTTAGCACGAAACTGCCGTGGGCTTGGGAACCCACGAGCAGATCGAGTTCTTCAAAGAGTTCTAAAGAGAGAAGATCTTAAGGTGGTTTTCTTGAGCGAAACTATCTGCAAGATTACTAACCTTGATAGAATCCGTTGGAAGTGCATGATGGACGGTTTGGTTGGAGTGGATCCGGTAAGGGAAAAGTGGTGGTTTAACACTTATGTGGAAGAAGAGCTTAAGAGTAAGTTTGAAAAGTTATTCCAAGTACCACATTGATGCAAGGAAAATGAGGTCCAATCTTATGTAATTGGTGTTGGACCAATCAAAGATCATGGGTTTTGGTTTTTTTTTTACACAGAACTCTAGCTACTTAATAAAAAGAGGTGAGGCTATTTTAAAGTAATGTTAAAAATCAAGAAGAGAAAAAAGAAAAGCCAAGAAAAGTACAGAGAAAAAGAAAAGGAAAGTTGATTGAACTGAAGTCGATTCATGATCCGATTGAGTTAAAATTTTGTCAGCAGGTTTATAATTTAAAGTTCTACATTCTGAATGATGAAGAGTGAGTTTGAAGCTTTCTAAGAACAAATCTATGGTGTATTTGTTGAGTTACCTATTTAGTGAGATTTTTTCAATTGTTTCTCTAGTTATTGATTAGCTCTAATTTTAGTTAAAGAAAAACTTTGTATATCCATTATTTGATAATGAATATTTTTCTGGTGGTCCGTGGTTTTTTCTTCTACACTGAAAGGTTTTTCACGTAAGTCTTGGTGTGCTTTATTTTTTTTACATTGTTGATTGTTGTCTATTACTGTAGATTTATTGCGATATATTGCTTTTGCATTGTTGTATTTATTGTTTCAGGCCCAACAATTGATACTTTAATAACGGAGAAAGGAAAAAACAATCGAAGATTAACGGGTTTTTATCGGGAACCAAATACAAGGGAACAACATGATACGTGGAGTGCACTGAGAAAGTTGTCCAATTCAAATCAAATACCATAGCTATGTGTAAGTGATTTCAATGAAATTCTCTAGGACCCGGAGCTATTTCTAAACTATACGTTAAGGCACTTGGCAAATGGATATTTGGATCATTGTCCAATTTTGGTTGAAACCATGGGCCATAAAGCAAGCTGTAAATGCAAACAAAGGTCAAAAGGTAAACGATTTGAACTAATATGGGTCCATGAAATTGATTGTGATCCAATAGTTGAGAACATTTGGCATGAGGCTAAGGAAGGTGGTTTAAAGCAAAAAATTGGCAACGTCATGGGCAATATGACAGCGTGGGCCAAAATGAGATTCTATGGCATGCATGCAAAAATAGAAAGGCTTAAAAAAGAGCTATAAGGTATTTAATGCCAAAACGGGAATGAGGAAAATATAAGACAAAAGAGGGAGCTAAAACAACAATTAAACAGTCTACTAAAAAATGAAAAGGTGTTTTAGCTTCAAATATCTAGGCTCACGTGGCTAAGGGATGGTGATAAGAGGTGATAAGAACACGAAGTATTTTCATGCACATGCAAACCAGCGAATGAGGGTGAATACAATAAAAAGGTTGGAGGATGATAGTAGCATGTGGCACGAGGGGGAACATGAGGTAGCAACCATGGTGGTGGAATATTTTAAAGAGATTTTCAAGTCCCAAAAGACATCCACTGTAATAAAAATCCTTCAAGCTATACAGCCACAAGTCACATTGGAGATGAATGAGATTCTAATCTCTAGCTTCACTCCAGAGGAGATTCACGAAGCCACCAAGTAGATCCATACTACAAAAGCACCGAGCCCTAACGGTATGCATGCTTTATTTTATAAAAAAATTTGGTGTACTATTGGTGATGATGTTACTAGATTTTGCCTATTGGTGTTAAACATGAAGGGTAGTTTGAAGGAGATAATTGAAACGCATGCATATAGTGTTTATTCCCAAGGTAGCATGCCCTGATAAAATGACCCAATTTAGACCAATTAGCTTATGTAATGTCATTTATAAAATTATTGCAAAAGTTATTACTAATAGGCTAAAACGAGTGCTACTGTATTGCATTAGCGAAAATCAGAGCACTTTCGTTCTTGGTAGGTTAATCATAGACAATATCATATGGCATATGAACTTTTGCATGCTTTAAGGCTTAAGAAAAAGGGGAAGGAAGATGGGGAGCATTGAAACTAGACATGAGTAAAGCATATGATAGAGTTGAGTGGGATTTTCTCAAAGCTGTTATGAGGAACCTTAGGTTTCAGAAAACATAAATACCAACTATTATGAAATGTGTGAGATCTGTCAGGTACAATATCATGATTAATAGCAGTGTGATAGAGATTATAAGGCCAGAAAGGGGATTTCGATAAGGAGACCCTTTTTTACCATACCTGTTCTTGCTATGTACAAAGGGTTTATTGGCTCTTCTAGCAAAGGCTCAAAGGGAAGACACACTTAGAGAATATGGACCACTGTGAAATGAAGAAAGATCACTCATCTTTTCCTCATGGATGGACAATCTATTGTTTATTAAGGCAAATCAAATGAAATGCGAGAAAGTGAGGAACTTTCTAAAGATCTATGAAGATGGGTCAAGGTAGAAGATTAATTACTATAAATTGGGCTATTTTTTAGTAAGAACACTAATAAAAACAAGCAAGAGGCAGGGATGAACATGTTTGGAATCCAAGCCACAAATAGTCCAAAGAAATACTTAGGCTTGCCAATGATATTTAGGGGAGGGAAGAAGAAGGCACTTAGAGGAATTGCAAACAAGATACAACAAAGGGTACAGTCTTAAAGCCAGAATTTGATTTTGGATAGAGGAAAAGAAGTCTTTGTAAAAGTAATCTTACAATCAATGGTTGTATATGCTATGTCATGCTTTATGCTACCAAGGGCTCTATGTAAACATAACAATGTAGAAGTAATATATCGTAATAAATTCACAGTAATAGATAATAATCAATAATCAACAATGCAAAAAAAAAATAAAATACACCAAGATTTATGTGAAAAACCCTTCAATATAGAGGAAAAAAATCATAGACCACCAAAAAAATATTCACTATCAAATAATGGATATATAAAGTTATTCTCTAACTAAAATTAGAGCTAATCAATAATTAGAGAGACAATTAGAGAAATCTCACCAAATAGATGACTCAACAAATACACATTAGATTTGTTCCTAAAAAGCTTCAAACCCAATCTTTACTGTTCAAAATGTAAAACTTTGAATCATAAACCTACTGATAAAATTTTAACTCAATTAGATCACATATTGATTTTCGTTCAACCAACTCTCCTTTCTCTTTTTTCTCTCTATTTTTTTGGTTTTTTTTTCCTTTTTTTTTCTTGATTTATGGCACCACCTTCTTTTTTTCACCTTAAAATAGTCCCACCTCTTTTTATTAAGTAGTTAGGACTTTCTTAAAGAAGCCTAAAAACACA